ACAATGTAACATATATGAATGCTGGCTGTAACTACTCTTACTACTTTAAACCACAAGATTGCCTTTGGAATTAGAATTTGAAGCAGTAACTCTACTTTTGAGATTAAGGAAAAGCTTGTTTTTTGCCTATATTTTAATTAAGTAAATTTAACTTTCATTCTATTTTTATTTGTTCCTACATTCTCTGTGTTTTTCTCCTTACTTCCTTCCACTCCCTCAAAAATCTAGTCCTTTTACTCATATTGCTGAGTTTCTGGCACATGGCTTTCCCTGCTTCACAAATCCCTTTTCTTGGGAATCAGTTAATTGAACTCACTTTATGTGTTCCATTTTTCTTTTGCTCTATTTTTTTGCTCTATTTGCTCTATTCTTTTGCTCTATTACGTTACTTTGGGAAGGGAAATTCTTTACTGTGCAGGGTCTAAGGTCAGAAAACTGGACCTCTGTTTTAATATTGTTTTTGTGTAAAAAGGTTTGTATTTGTTAGTTCCAGAAATAAGAATTACAATTTTATTGGTGAGAGAATTACAATTTTATTGGTGTGAGGTTTTCCCTATCTTCTTTTAAGAAATAAAGATAAAAATTATTAGTAAAATATTCTATGAAAATTCAAAATGAATAATCTCACTTGTTGATAAACTTTATTTACATGATGTGAATTCCTCTTGGCTTATTAACGGAGACAATGTCAAAAAATATTAACTTTTCCATGGGAAAACTCCAAAGTATTCAGAATTAGTTGAAATACTGTGTACTTTATTCTTTTTTTTTTTTTTCTGAGACAGAGCCTTAAGCTGTTGCCCTGAGTAAAGTGCTGTGGAATCACAGCTCACAGCAACTTCCAACTTCTGAGCTCAAGCGATTCTCCTGCCTTAGCCTCCCAAGTAGCTGGGATTACAGGCACCCTCCACAACACCTGGGTATTTTTTGGTTGCAGCTGTCATTGTTTGGCAGGCCTGGGCTGGATTCAAACCCACCAGCTCAGGTGTATGTGGCTGGCACCTTAGCAGCTTGAGCCACAGGCCCCGAGCCTGTACTTTATTGGTGACATTGTTCCCTTAAACTCAGTTGCATAGTTAATTATAATATTTGAAAGAAAATTTAAAACTTTTTAGTTTTATATGTTTTTAAGGTTATTGACCTAAATTATTTTAGAAAAGTATTTTTCCAACTGCGTAAGTTAAGGAAAATGTATGCTTGAGGCATAATGGCTGTAATAAATTATAAAATCTATGTGCATTTGTTTTAGGTAAGCACTTTCCATTCTTTGTATACTTTTAAAAGTTTATTGGATAATTGTATTTAATTGGACAATAAACTTTAATTGCTCTTTTGTCAAATTAGACCCTATAAAGCCATGTCAGAATTTCTGGCCAATTATGCCTTCTTAAATACCTATTAGGAAGCATATTATCTCATTACACTTAAGGTGACTATGATTAATTATTGGTTAATTTTGCTGTCCACATCATGTTTTATCCAGGTACTTATTGGGCCCTGGTTGCGTGATATGAATATAGTTGAGCCTCATTACTTTTGAGGGTTCCATATTTATGAATTCATCTACTCACTTAAGTTTATTTCTAATTTCAAAATCAGTGTATGAGTTTGTGGTCATTCGCAGGTGTGCTCAAAGTAGGGAGGAAAAGAATCTAAGTTTCCTGATGTGAACATTTCACTTGCAGTTTATTAAGACCGCATTCTGTTTTCTTTAGGAGCAGGTGGTTCTATATTCACTAATTCAGTCTTGATGAATGAAGAAGTAGAAAAATGGTTCTATAACCAATGGTCTTGACTTTATAGAATGTAACTACTATGAATAGCGAGAATTGACTGTATTTAAGAGTGGGGCTTTGATGTCAGTCTGGTTTTAATTTTTAAACATTTTGTTCTTGCAAATTCTGCTTTGCAGCTTTATTACTGGTGAAATATTTGCTTAATCAATGAACATACATAGTGTTCTGGTCAGTCTGTAGCTCTGATAATCTGGCCTGATGGGATGTAGGACCAGTTTGGGTGTTAAAGAAATGACTCTGCACAGAGGAAAGTATTTAATACCTAGGAAATAGAAGTTTCCACAGAGTCAATTGTTTTAGTAAATTGTATTTTAGCATCTTAATAAAACAATAGGTTCTCCAGGAAGACATTTTTAAAATCTATTTTGGTTATTGAGAATTTCAGATACATTATTTAAAGAATAGAATAAATAGCATTTAAATTAATAATGTAGAAGATAATATCTATTTTTCTGTAAAACTACATTATTTTAAATATATAAAATATATTTTGGGCTTCTCATATCTTTTTTAATAATGGCTTACATTCCTTATTTAAAGTACTGTATGAAATCTGAAATCAGAACTATCCAAAAACTTTTCCTGGGTTCTTTGTTCTTACAAAGTTCTTGTTACTGTTTTGGTATTGTGGAAATGGTTATTTCTACTGCCTTGTTCTCTTAAATTTCTTTACATTATTTTCTTGACTACTTTTATACTTCTTAGGTAATCAGATATTTAACACTAAACTTTGAACAAATATGAAAGGTTTCCTTTTTAAAATTTATAAAGCTGATTGTCACATTTCCTGAAATTGAGCCCTAATTCTGTAGCCTTTTAGTTTTTAGTTCAGGAAAATTATTTAATCCTCCATCTATTGTTACTCTTTTGATACAAGAGCAGACCAAATGCACTTGAAGTCTACTGTGACTCAGGATCTATAAGGTTTGATTCCTGGCTATGGATAAAATTGTCACTTCAGAAGAGCCCCAAAACTTTTCAGCTTGCCTCCCTTCCATTGTGTCCTCTCATCCCCCCATCCATAGCCCTTTACTTCAGTTCACCTTCACTTTATAGTGTCTGCTGTCTTGGGTTAACTGATGGCTGATTAGGAATTAGAATCTGTGTGACCTTGGAAACTTTTACAAGTTGACTTCCTCTTAAAAATTCTATTCATAGGTGGCACCTGTGGCTCAAAGGAGTAGGGCACCGGCCCCATATACCAGAGGTGGTGGGTTCAAACCTGCCCCTAGCCAAAAACTGCAAAAAAAAAAAAAAAAAAAAAAACTCTATTCAAGTCACTAAGCAAACTTGAAAGCCTATATTCGCCTGGTCCTATCATAGGACCAAGTGTAAAGAGATTAAAAGTAACTTCATTCCTCTGATCTTAATCTCAATTTCTTTTTATTTATGTTTATTCATTTATTTATTTATTTTTTGCAGTTTTTGGCCAGAGCTGGGTTTGAACCCACCACCTCTGGCATATGGGGCCAGCCCCTTACTCCTTTGAGCCACAGGTGCCACCCCTTAATCTCAATTTCTAATCCAACAGAGAAGATAGACAGATAACAAGTAATTGTAATGGAGTGCTGAAAGTAAAATGGAAGAGATATGTACCAGTTGAGGAAAGTTTGCTTTGTTCCTTCCTCAGTAGTATGATTTACTCTGCTTAAGTAGCCAAGAGACTAGAGAGAGGAAGTGCTTCTCCCAAAGGCTTGGGAAGAATGACTACCAGTTTTTACTACCAGTTTTACTTGGTGTGTGGGGCACCAAGTCCAAGTGTGGGATGAACACGCAGGTACAGCAAGGGCCTGGGCCCTAGAGAACATGATGTGTGCCAGGGCAAGATTTTATAGTGTACTATTTATTTATATGCCATGCTAAGTAGCTTTAAAAATGTATTTTGATGGAAATTCAAATACATAGAAGTTAAGACTAATACAGTGAGCACCCATGTATTCATCACCTGTTCCATTATTTAAAAACATTTTTCTACTCTTATCTGCTCCCTCCTCCTGTAGTATTAGTATGAAAGTGGCTAGCTAGCAGGGTGCCTGGCAAATAGTAGGGCAGACAGTGAATTTGCTTCTGTGTGGTGTTATACAGAGGATGCTAAAAAAAGTGTATACATATTTTAAGAAAGGAAGAAACTATAGTAAATTTAAAAACTGTAGTAAATGTGACTTAAATACTAAGTCACATTTAACTCTACAATTACAAGAGATGCTTAGTGTGACTTATATTCATCTTTTGTTAATATCAGTATGTGTTGAGTATTATAATTTTAATAGACTTTTTCTTTTCTTAAAATGTATATACTTTTTTTTGGCATCCTCTGTATTTATCAGACTTCCCCATAACCCAGGCATCCTCAAACTATGACCCGCGGGCTACATGTGGCCCGCCTAGGACATTTATCTGGCCCTCTGGGTGTTTTTGCCGCTGCTGCCTGTCCTGCTTAGCAGCTGACTGATCCCGGGGCCCACAGTCCGGGCCTCCAACAGTCTGAGGGACAGTGAACTGGCCCCCTGTTTAAAAAGTTTGAGGACCCCTGCCATAACCTCACCTCTGTTTTTATTTAAGTTGAATTATCTCCTTCATCCTAAACTCATCAGGCAGAAAACCTTTATTTTGATTGACAGAGAATCAATCTCCTTTTTTTTTTTTCAGGCATTTAGCATTTGCACACTCATCCTTTTTATTTCTGTGAGGTCCCCAGAGGGTATATGGAATATATTCATTTGGGTGTCCCCATTACACCAGTTAGTGCAGAGCCTTGTGCAGAATATGGAAGCTGTATTTATTTATTAAAATGATTTAAGTTTCTGACTTCTTCCCGTATGTGTGGCATTCATTACCTTTGTCTTAAAAGGCAAACATGGGGATGGGAGAGTATATGTGTATTTATTTATTTCATGTTATATCTCTTTTCTGATTCCTTCTGGAAAGCAAGCTCTTTTATCCTTTTCTTCTCTTTCTAATAGCACATTTAAAATTTTATTAGACTTTTTTTTTCTTTTTTTTTTTTTTAATTGAATGGTAACAATATACATTAATGCACTTCTGGGAGACTTTTTTTTTAATAGCAGTCTGTATTTAGTGTTTTATTTATTCTATTTTGGGGCCAACAAAATGAATTAGAGGTAATTCATTTAGAAAATAAGAGTTACACGTAACTTAGAGATCAAATTACAAATCTCAGCATTGCTTCTGTTTTCTCTCCAGGGCCTGCTCTCTTTTCTGAGTGCCCCACTCATAGGTGCTCTGTCTGACGTGTGGGGGAGGAAGCCCTTTCTCCTTGTCACCGTCTTCTTTACCTGCTTCCCAATCCCACTGATGAGGATCAGCCCATGGTGAGTGGATTGGCCCTTCACATCATGACTATTTGTTTTTGAGTCATGTCTAAATCATACTTTCATCTGCAGAGCACCTAACCAAAGCAGTTGTACCTATGTTTTCCTTTGCTCTCTTTGGTAATACTGAAAGCCAGTTTGGGCAGTTGCCATCATATTCATTTTAAAAATGAGGAAATATAAGGCATTACAGAATCAGGTCTAGGATAAGCTATTTGGGTAAAGAAATAGATACAGAAGATGCCTATAAGGGTACCTGTTGTTGCCATGATCATGTTATAGGAGTTCAGTCCTGGAGGTGGGCTCATCATTGTGGTTCATTTGACTTTGCAAATATGTTATTTTTCTCAGCTCATTCTTTGGGGCATTGACATGAGCATAGCTTATATCATAATAGCAGGAGTCACTTTTGTACATAGCAGAGTAAGGCTAGTAGTTGATTCTAAATCATAATATGAATTTGAATTTATTTTCCCCCATAAAGCGATAAATCAGAGAGAACATTTAACATGTGACCAAAGTTCATTTAGTTACCAAGAGTAGATGGGAATTTGCACATGAGCTATAATTTAGTTCTTTTTCTGGATATCAGAAGATGGTATTTTGGCCTGTATTCATGTTGATGAGATGTTCTTCCTATGTGAATAATATACTTTAATGCTATTAGTAGATTTTCTTTTGGGGGCTATATGTACATATTTTCATTTGATTATCTGATAGGGAATCTTATGTTAACATTTGTCACATTTCTCAGTTTGTTGGGTATTCCAAATCGTTTTTCTACCAGGTAATGAATTTTTATAAAATACTTTTTGATATTGAGTCTTTATGTCCAAGAACATGTCATGTTATGCATTTCTCATTAGTTAGGGCTTCTTTTAATGTCTTTTGTTAACTTAAAAATTTTTTCCTTTAGATCTTCTACATTTCTTGTTAAGTTTTATTCCTATAAATTTTATCGTTTTTGTTCTATTAACATAAGCTCTTTTAATTGCTTGATTTTCTAGGTATATTTTTATCTGTCGATGATTTTATCTTGTCCAGTTTTCATGCTGTTCTCTGCTTTTGCTGATTGTATTGACTAATGAATAATGTTAAATAAAAGTGATGATTGTGGGCTTTTCTTATATTTAAAGCGAGTGTTTCATAATTAGGTGTGAGGTTCGCTTTGGGGCTGAAAATTACTTATTCCAATTTTAGCCAGAGTTGTCTTTTTTTTAATGATAAGGAATGGATGCAAAATGTTATTAGGTGACATTTTAGCATTAATGGATGTTATTTGCTAAATTTTCTCCTTAAAGCTACTAATATGATTGATTACATTAGTATTAACATAATTTTCTAATGGTGAAATAGTTTTTATCCTAGAATAAACCCTACTTTTTGTTCTAGGTAATTTTCTTTGCTAATGTTTTAATGAGGTTTTAAAAAATTATCTTCATGTACTAGAAATTTTGGGTCTTAATTACATGAATTTTTTTAATTGTTTGAGGTTAATTGAGGGTACAAAGAATTAGGTTACAATATTTCCATGTAATTAGGTAGAATCCGTCCTGCCCCCAAGAGGTGTGCCATACCCTTAACATTGTGCCCATTAAGTAGAAGCACACCCATCCCCCTTCCTCATTCCCTCTCCCTGCTCCCTTGTTCCCTGACCCCCATCTTGAATTGATTTGAGTTTTTCTTTTATGTGGGCTTGTATTAGATCATCTGCTAGCTTCCTATTAGTATTTGAGTATATAGGATTCTTGCTCCTCCATTCTTCTGATACTTTACTAACAAGAATGTGTTTCAACTCCATCCAGGTAAATACAAAAAATTTAGAAGTCCCCATCTTTTTTAATGGCTGAGTAGTATTTCATGGTATACATATACCATAGCTTGTTTTTTTTTTTTTTTTGAGACAGAGCCTCAAGCTATCCCCCTGGGTAGAGTGCCGTGGCTTCACAGCTTACAGCAACCTCCAACTCCTGGGCTCAAGCGAGTCTCCTGCCTCAGCCTCCCAAGTAGCTGGGACCACAGGCGCCTGCCACAACGCCCGGCTATTTTTTGGTTGCAGCCATCGTTGTTTGGCGGGTCCGGGCTGGATTCAAACCCGCCACCTTAGGTGTATGTGGCTGGCGCCTTAGCCACTTGAGCCACAGGCACCGAGCCCCATAGCTTGTTTACATAAATTTTTTTATTATGCTTTCTGTTTTTGTGTAGATGTTCTAAAACCATTTTTTCCGTATGTTTTCTTAAAGGAAATTTAAAAAAAATTAGTTCTGTTGGCTACCTTTAAAACTTAACTTTTTCTTAAATCCTTATTCTTTCATATTTTTCCTCTTCTGCTCTTTTGTAGACTACATGTACTAATCCCCTTTCAATAATTACAAAATTAGTATTTGTTTTTTCCTTCTTGTCTTAATTTTAATTTTTTCTGTCTTTCAGTATACTCACACATGTACATGTGTATTTGTTTATTTCTTTATAATCTTTATAGTATATATTTGTATATAGTATATATAGTATATATATAGTATATATAGTATATAGTATATATTTCTTTATAATCTTTATAGTATATATTTGGCTTGCTTGTTTCTTGTTATAAAAGTGTACATACACTTCTTCTTTCCTGGTAATTAAACTAATCTTTTTATAGGTGGTATTTTGCAATGATTTCTGTGTCTGGAGTCTTCTCAGTCACGTTCTCTGTGATATTTGCCTATGTAGCTGATGTCACTCAAGAGCACGAGCGAAGTACTGCTTATGGATGGGTAAGATAATAGGCTATATATTTTTTTAAACAGAACAATAATTTTCTATTAAAAATTCACCAGAAAATAAGATTTAAAGTAAGTGGTAAATTTTTATTTATATAAGAGAAAATCTAAAGTAAGCAAAATAGAAAAAGGCTCTTACAAAAAGTTAATAATGGCAAGATAGAAATTGCTAGTGATTTATTGTTTGGTTTTAGCATTGGAAGATTGACAGGAATAGGTGAATTGTAAGTTGCAAAATTTTTAAAATATTGGTTTGATTTGTTTCTTGTTATCTAGTTTCTTGAGAAACCTAAATAGTCAACAGTTGCTAAGATCAGAAGTGTGTGCACCACATTCTAATTGGCAAGGTCCTGGAACCTCAGCAATTTTAATGCATTATAATTTCTTTGGTGGTTGTATAGGGCACCCATTTGGGAAATATACTATGGAAAAAGGGCTATGTTCATTCATTCAGCAAACACATAGTTGTTGAATAAATAACAAATGTTATAGGAGGTGGTGTGTGGTTACTCAAACCTGTAATCTTAGCACTTTGGGAGGCCAAGGTGGAAGAATTGTCTGAGACAAATAATTCAAAAACAGCCTGAGCGAAAGTGAGACCATGTCTCTACAAAAAATAGAAAAATTTCCCCCGATGTGGTAGTCCACGCCTGTAGTCTCAGCTACTCAAAAGACAGAGGCAGGAGGATCTTTTGAATTCAGGAGTTTGAGGTTGCAATGAGCTACGTGACACCACTGTGTTGTAGCCCCAGCAATAGAGTGAGACTGAAAGGTTCCGGACCCAAGGATAAAATCATTCTGAGATGCAAGACGAAAGGAAAATGGAGATCCAATTCATGCAGTTAAAGTAGCCTTTATTCCACCTAGCGTATAGGTGGGGTGAGATTCCTGACCAGGGAGAAATCCACCCGTGGGCTATGGCAGACAGGGATTTAAAGGGTTAGGGCAGTGAGGATTGGTGGCATTCCTATTTCCTGGAAGGGATATCAGTGTGACCCTCTCTGGGTGCGCCATGAACCTGACCCTGTCTGGGCGGGGTAAGTTTATTTGGGCAGGTACACCTGATCTATCAGAGACCTGGTCCCCCCCCAAAAAAGTTACAGGATAATTTTGTTTACAATTTGATTTACATTTTGCATTTACATCTGCATTTACAATTTTCTTAGGTGTGATAGTGATATTATTAAGCAGGAAAGGAAAGACCAATTAGAAGATGACAGCTGACATTTTGGATCAGAGTGTTAACCACTGCAAATTACTTTAAAATGGCTCAGGGGAAAAGAGAGCATATGGGTACTTCAGTGTGGTCATGTGTTTGTGCTTAAAGCTGTAGGACATGTGACCTTCTCCCAGCTTTCTCTGTGTTTATTAATGTTCGCAATAAGAAGGTAAAAAATGAAAGGTGGTCTGGCTGGATTGTGGGGAATAGATTGTTTTGGTTTTTGGAAACACAGTCTCTGTTGCCCTAGATAGAGTGCTGTGGCCTTATAGCTTATACAGCAACCTCAAACTCTTGGTCTTAAGTGATCCTCTTGCTTCAGCCTCCCAAGTAGCTGGGAGTACAGGCGTGCACCACCACACTCAGCTAGTTAATTTCTGTTTTTAGTAGAGACAGGGACTTACTCTTGCTCAGGCTGGTCTCTAACTCCTGAGCTCACTCAGACAATCCACCTACCTTGGTCTCCTAGAGTGCTAGAATTACAGGTGTGAGCCACTATGCCTGGCCTTGTGAGGAATAGGTTGGAGGGGAATTGAATGCCAGAAACCTAGGTTATTCCTCTCTTTTCCCTGAGTCTTACTATTTCTCTTAAATCCACTCCTTATAATCTTTAAGAAAAGATTTCAGGGAAGGAGTTCTAAATAGAAGTGACTGTAACTTAATTACCCTCTCTAACTTAGCTCCTTGTTGTAGTATGGCAGTTAGGGTTAATGCTTGCTCATAGGGGCGTTGAGATAAGTCAGTAAATATGCACATCTAAGCTGAAGCAGTGTTTAGCTGAAATGTGCTCCCAACCAGTGTCTGTGACTCAGCATGTAAGGCTTCCTGGATTTGTCACTGGACCTAGCGTCTTGGCCAGTGAGTACCTTTACATTTGTCCCTAAATGCCAGATATTTAGATGACAGAATTAAAGGAACAGCTTGGCTCTGCGCCTGTGGCTCAAGTGGCTAAGGCGCCAGCCACATACACCTAAGGTGGCAGTTTCATATCCACCCCAGGCCGCCAAACAACAATGATGGCTGCAACCAAAAAATAGCCGGGTGTTGTGGTGGGCGCCTGTGGTCCCAGCTACTTGGGAGGCTGAGGCAGCAGACTCACTTGAGCCCAGGAGTTGAAGGTTGCTGTGAGCTGTGATGCCCAGGGGGACAGCTTGAGACTCTGTCTCAAAAAAAAAAAAAAAGGAGCAGCTTGCAGCTTATCTTACACATAAAGGAGAATTTATTGTCAATTAATTATAGTCAAGTTCAAAGGAGCATTTTGGAACCCACTAATGAACAATGTATAAAATATGTACCTTCCTTACTGAAAATCTGAAGATGCTGGGGCATTATTTCTATAGTATCTGAGGATTCTGCAGTAGTGCTTTCATAGCGCCTGAGGCTACTACAGCAATGCGTCTGTACACCTGAGGATGCTGCAGCGGTGCTCCCATAGTACCTGAGGATGCTGTAGTCATGTTGCTGTAACACCCTTAGGAGAGTGTAGGAATTCTCCTCTAACTATTTTACAGTGCAGGTATGTGATTGTCTTGATCTTCTCAAGTAAAGTGGGAAAACCTAAAGGGTAGGAGCTTCATCATCTTTATCTGGTTCATAGTAGGTACTCAATAAATATTGAGTGAAAGAATTCCTGTTCTCGGCTCGGCGCCTATAGCTCAACCGGCTAAGGCGCCAGCCACGTACACCTAAGGTGGTGAGTTCAAATCCCCAGCCCGGACCCGCCAAACAACAATGACGGCTACAACCAAAAAATAGCCGGGCGTTGTGGCGGGCGCCTGTGGTCCCAGCTACTTGGGAGGCAGAGGCAGGAGACTCGCTTGAGCCCAGGAGTTGGAGGTTGCTGTGAGCTGTAATGCCATGGCACTCTACCCAGGGGGACAGCTTGAGGCTCTGTCTCAAAAAAAAAAAAAAAAAAAAAGAATTCCTGTTCTCCAAACTGGAATTCTCTACACCCTTTTTAATCTCTCTAGGAATTTTTTTTTTTTTTACTTGTATGGTATTTTTAGTATAATACTAATTTTGGATATTTATTTATATTATTTTGGGGGGATGATGGATGAAAAGAGAGTGTCCTTAGCTTACTAGGAATCCTAATAATTACATTCACAGGTAATGATTTCTGTGGTTTCTAACAAAATCCATTTGAAGTTTAAATAGCTAACTTACAGATACGCTTTTGACACTTAGTCTGCTTATAATTTGGAGACTGCCCATTAAGCTTCTAAACATTCAGATGGCTTTGTAGAATAAAGTGGGTATTTTACATCTTCATAGGAGTGCAGAGTGAAGAGGCTCAGTGTGACTTTAGGTTGCAACTGCAGTCAGCCAGCTCTGTGGTTTTTGTACTGGGCAGAGGTCAGGTAGTGACAGGGTGAGAATCTACAGCTCTCTAATCAAAAAGCTCCCATTTCACCTTTCATAGGTTATTTCTTTCTCTTGTTGAGAATATCAGATTTGGGCCCCCCCCTTCAGTGTAATGAAATGGCCACTAAATGATAAAATGGTGAAATAATACACTGTTTTTTAGAAGATGAAACCATGTAATGGTTCCCTGACTAATTTGTAGATTTTTCTCATAACCTCTCTAGACATTTTTCTCTCATACTCTTCACATTCCCATTCTCCAATTCAAGAAGATGAAAGAGTGCATATTTTATTTGTGAGGAAGGTTTTCACAACTTTTATTTCTAAAAAGTTCATTGTTTTTTACTCTTATAGCTTGTCAGGGGGTGGGTGTATCCATTTAGTTAATAGTTGGTGAACAAATTTTTAAAATTACTTTAATTCTCTCTCATTCTTACAAGTTGTCTGTAACATATTACTTTTGTCTTGTTTCTCTTTTCTTTTTTTTTTTTCTGTAGAGACAGAGTCTTACTTTATCACCCTCAGTAGCATGTCGGGGCGTAACACTGCTCACAGCAACCTCCAACTCCTGGGCCTCGGTGATTCTCTGGCCTCAGCCTCCGGAGTAGCTGGGGGTCATAGGCGCCCGCCGGCCACACACCCGGCCAGTTTTTGTTGCAGTTCAGCCAGGGTCAGTTTTGAACCCGCCACCCTCAGTATATGGGGCCGGCACCCCACCTTTAGTAGGGTGGGCACCGCCACCTTTTGCCCACTAAGCCAGGTGGGCACTGCCCACCTTTTGTCTTGTTTAAAGCCAGGGAAAATTAGCTGTAGGTGTGCACCTGTGGGATCCTAGGCAAGTGTGTACTTTCCCACAGGTGTTAACCTATAGGACCCTGGGTGAGAGTGTGCTTTCTTGTAGGTCTCAGCCACCTTTGCAGCTAGTCTGGTCAGTAGCCCAGCCATTGGAGCATACCTTTCTGCAAGTTACGGAGACAGCCTGGTTGTGTTAGTGGCCACAGTGGTGGCTCTTCTAGACATCTGCTTCATCTTAGTGGCTGTTCCAGAATCTCTGCCTGAGAAAATGAGACCGGCTTCCTGGGGAGCTCAGATTTCTTGGAAACAAGCAGATCCTTTTGCGGTAAATAAAAACATGAAAATATTTACTTTTGTAAATGTCTTTCTGAGCGAAGCAAATCAAAGAATGTATGTGTAGCCTCAGTAATTCCAGCAGTTGTTGATCCATTTCTAATTCCCTTAAAAAATAGAGAAGAATTAATTGTAAGTAAGAGACTAAAGGTAGTCTGTGAACCCAGAAATATGTATAATTGGTTCTTAAAATTAAGCGTGTCATGAGGGAAGAGAGAGAACATGTCCAATTAGTTTCTGATGAAAGTTTGGAAAGGAAGTTTCTCTTTCATGTGGTTGTTTTCATCCTTTTTTAACAAAATAAATGAAAGTGGTCATTTGATGTGGCCATTTTCATTGACTCTGATTCAAAATGGTAAATGCATTTGGTCTTACTGAAAGAGTTATTTTCAAAGTTGTTAATATACTTGTGCTCTGACCAGAGACTTTAAACTTGTGTTTGTAGAGGGAATAGATTTTCTATGATTTATTATTATTTATTTTTTGGCATGGGTGAGTATGTGTCACACTAACAACCAGAGAAAAAGTATCTTATCTCTCACTTTTCTCCTGCTTTATCTTTGGTTTGGAATTGTTTTTGAAAAAGATAAGTGCAAAAAAAAAAAAAAAGAACCAGAGATATGATTTTTGGTTTTTTCCCCCCTCTCTAAGTTTACCTTTTAGGAAAAATATGTATAATAAAAAAATGAATTCTTCAGAAACTCTTATCTAAAATACCCCTTCAGGACACGACCTGTGGACACTCCCCGTTCTGTTTATGCCACAATGTCAGACAGCAAAAGAAGTATTTAGAGAAGGAAGCCAGGAGTGGACTGGGGAGCCAGCTGTCAGGCTTCCTAGCTTCTTGTCAGGTAGTGATGAAGTTATACATGGAAGCTCCTCTCTGAAGTGCCACTACTATGGCTTACTTTTCAGGGAAGTTGTGAGAATTACAGTTAATATGTGTCAGTTAGCTAGTCTACTGTCTGATATGCAGCAAAGTCTCTACAGATACTAGCTTGTTAAGTATGTAAGAGTTATGATACAATGACCTACAAGCTCTGTAGCCTTTTCCACTTCTTTGGTAACAGTGCACCTTTTGGTTCTATGCCAACAATTCTACGTATATAAGTAATTTTTTAAAAATTTATTTCAAAATATTAAGCAGTTACAAATGTTTTTGTAACATGGATATCTTTTATAATGCTTAAGTCAGGGCTTTTAGTATGCTGATGACCTGAATAGTGTTCATTTTACTGGATAGGTGAAGCTCTTACCCCTCCCTTCTTGATTTCCAATGACCTTTATATGTCTTTGTGCCCATGTGTGCCCACTGATTAGCTCCCAGTAATTAGAGAGCAGATGTGGTGTCTGCTTTTTTATTCCTGACATACTTCACTTTGGCTGATGGTCTCCAGTTTCATCCAAGTTACTGCAAAAGACATTTTTTTCATTCCTTCTTACTATAAGGAGGATTCTTCAACAAGGATGCAGCATTCAAAAAATTCTTAAACAATCTGACCCCATGGCTGGAGTATGCTTATTTGTCTACCAGGTTGACAGGCAAATTGAATATTAACATTTTGAAGAGCAAAGTGAATTTATGTATAATGAAAACCCTGTACTGACTATGGCTTTAAAGTAGTTGTATTACGAATTAAGAGAGAGAAACAGTTATCTTAAAGATTCTATGGGAATGCATTTTCAGTGTCTATTCATAGGAAGTTCAAGATCTGTTTAGGGATATGAACCAGTGTTGTTAACAAAGATGAGCAAATGTTTTTTAAAGAGCTATAATATTTGAAATTCATACCTCTGAAATTGGGACTTGTTAAGTTCTACAGAGACAAGGTGGTTTAATATTAAGGTTCATTTCTCCATTAGACTTTTGTTATTCATCTTAATAGGTCAAGATAGTGATTCCAGAACATTGGTGACATTAGTGTCTATTGGCTTTTTATGTGTTTTCTTTTTACTTTTTCCCAGTCACTGAAAAAAGTTGGAAAAGATTCTACCGTTTTATTAATCTGCATCACTGTATTTCTTTCATACCTTCCTGAAGCTGGACAGTATTCAAGTTTTTTTCTCTATCTCAGGCAGGTGAGTACCTAGTAGCCTTTGGATATGAGGAAAATCAAAAATTGGGATCTGTCTAAAAATATCTTGGGAAAACATTGTAGAGAAAAAAACGTGAACTTCTAGTTATGAATGTAGGTGCTGGCATATAACTAGTAGATAGTACATCATTAATGCAGTGATGATTTAAAATATAGTAAAATATTTATTATCCATAGTGAATTTTTTTTTGAGAATTATTTAGAGAGAATTAGCAGAAGCAGAATTTACCACAATATATTTTGAAAGACTTTTTTTTAAGAACAGTTTTAGGTTCTTAGCAAATTGAGAATGAGTAAGTACGTAAAGCAACTAAGTTTCCTTGTCATGTATATGCTTCCTGCCCCCATGTATCCCCTTTCCTGGTACAGGAACAGCCTCCTCCACTATCAACATCCCTCACCTGAGTGGTGCATTGTTACAGTTGAAGAACCTGCATGGACACATTAGTATCCCCCAAAGTCTGCATTTTCTATTAAGGTTCATGGTTGGTGTTGTATGTTCTGTAGGGTTTGGACAAAGGTGTAATGACCTAATGACATATATCTCTTGTTACAGTAATCATACAGAATATTTTTACTGCCCTATAAATCCCTTCTGCTCTGCCTAGTCATCCCTTCTCTTACCCTGGTCTCTTTACTGTCTCCATAGTTTTGCCTTTTCCTTACAGTATGTAGCCTTTGAGATTGGCTTCTTTCAATTAATATGCATTTAAGGTTCTTTTATGTCTTTTATAGCTTGATAACTCGTTTTTTAAATTTTTTATTATTTATTTATTTATTATTGAGACAGGGTCTCAAGCTGTCACCCTGGGTAGAATACTGTGGTGTCATAGCTCACAGCAGCCTCCAACTCTTGGGCTCAAGTGATCCTCTTACCTCAGTTTTTCTATTTTTAGTAGAGAGGGGTTTCAATTTTTGCTCAGGCTCGTCTCGAACTCATGAGCTCAAGCAATCCACCTGCCTTGGCCTTCCAGAGTGCTAGGATTACAGGTGTGAGCCACCGCACCCAGCTGATAACTCATTTCTTTTTAACAGTTGTTTGGATATACCACAGTTTATCCATTCACCTACATGTTTTCACTCTCCTCTGATTTTTTTCTGTTTAAAATTCTATATAACTCTTTTGTCCCTCAAGATAAGTAATTAATTTGAGACAATTTAAGAACAAATCCCCAAAACTGCTCTTTTCCAACTGTTCTTCAGGACTGTTTGCTTGGTCAGACCTAAGCTACCTTTCCATTGCATTCTGTCCTGGTTTTTTTCATTGGAAGGAAGGTCTTTTCCTAATGGTTTATTCTACTTTCACAGTAAGCCTCTTTCTAAGATGAGTTTCTCTATTTTTGAGAAGTTTAAAAATGAAAGTTTTATATTTTCCATTCTGATAGTGTTCCCTGAGAGTATGAGACCTAATATTTTATATGGTAGCATATAAGTAAAGCTTTTTTTCAGGCATTTCTATTTCTGTGTTTGCTTATGGTGGATGCCTGCTAATAGACGCAAGCTTAGTTAGATCGTATTTGTTTTGTGGAGAAAATTATACATGCATGTATAATTAATGTAGTAAATTAAATATGCATTTAATATAGAAAATAGTGTAAGGAAATGGGTAAGTCCAAAGAAGAAAGGGAAAAAAAACTCTGGGCGGCACCTGTGGCTCAAAAAGAGTAGGGCACCAGTCCCATATGCCGGAGGTGGTGGGTTCAAACTCAGCCCTGGCCAAAACCTTTAAAAAAAAAAAAAAAAAAAAAAAAAAGAAGAAAGAAAGAAAGAAAGAAAAAACTCTTTACACAGATAATATAACAACTGTGACTATTTTATCTTTTAGTTTTTTTCCTACTTGTATGTTCATATCACCACCACCACCAGTTACAATAAAAATCAAAATCATTCTATATTATTTTGTATTTGTGCTTCCTCTTAAGAGTGCCTAACACAGAAATTTTAGTTGAAATTGCATTTGATGTTCAAATGTCATATATTTGAGAAATAACTTGTATTTAGGATATGTATAGAACTCATTATAATAAAAGACACAATAATATCTGATAATAACAAAAAGACAATCCAATTGGGAAAACAGGCAGAGGATATTAAATAGATTAATTTTCAAGCACACAAAAGGAAAATATATAAAAGACCAATGAAAAGATGAATAACTATTTATCAAGGAAATCCAAGTCAAATCAATAGTGAGTTACCACTTTAGGATGGCTTTAATCAAAAAGACAAGGATATGGAGAAATCAAAACTATCATGCTAGGAGGATAGAAAGTGGTGCTGCCACTGTGGAAGAGAGCATGGCAGTTTCTCTAATGTTCAACATTAGAGTTACCATATAAACTAGTAAATCTCCTAGGTATAGACCCTGAGAAATGAAAAAAACATCCAACATAGAAACTTGTACACAAATCATTATTCACAATGGCCAAAAACTAAAATAATCCAAATAGCCATCAACTGATGAATAGGTTAATGTAATGAATGTGGTATATCCATACAATAGAATGTTATTATTCAATAGTAAAAAATTAATAAAGTACTGATGTGTGTACAACATGGGTCAACCTCAAAAACACTAAAGGAAGGACCACATACTGTATTATTTATATTCAATTGTATGAAATACTCCAGGATAGGCAAATTCCTGGAGATAGGAAGTGGAAAGGTTAGGCCGGAAGTGTGGAATTCCTTCATGGTACCATGTTTCTTTGAAGAATGATGAAAATCTAATATTGATTGTGGTGATTGTTGCCCAAGTCTGTGAATATACTAAAACCATTAATTTGACAATTTACAGTAGGTGAATTGTATGGTATTTAAATTCTATCTCAGGAAAGCTGTTTTTATGTATGTTTATATACATTTGTATGTAAATGGGGGGATGTGTGTGTGTATTACACACCGAGGCTGAGCAATAATCCCCAAATCTTTTTTGAGGTTCCACTTTTTAAAACTGCATTTGATTAGATAGTAATGAAATATCGTTAATGTCAACGGCACTGGATTAGGTTCTTCTAGGCCTAGGTCTTTAGTTAGCTAGTTTTGTGCCCGAAAATGAAAAGAATGTATAGGCTTGGTGCCTGTTCCTCAGTGGCTAGCTCCACATACACTGGAGCTGGCAGGTTTGAATCCAGCTTGGGCCTGCCAAACAACAACTACAACCAAAAAAAAAAGAAAAGAAATAGCCGGGTGTTGTGGTGGGTGCCTGTAATCCCAGCTACTTGGGAGGCTGAGGCAAGAGAATTGTTTAAGCCCAAGACTTTGAGGTTGCTCTGAGCTGTGATGCCATAGCACTCAGGTGACAAAGTGAGACTTCGTCTAAAAAGAGAAAAATAATGTATAAAATAATTTTTAAGGTCCTTTTCTTGAATTTTATGGAATTTTAGTATAGGGAAAAATTAACTTTTTTAAAACTTAAAAATTTTAAGAATTTCAGAGATAACTGCTAAGTTCAGAGGCTTAGAAATCATCATTGGCTGCTCATTAGAATTGCTGTGGGAATTTTTAAAAACATACCTGGTCATATCCCCAGAGAGTCTGATTTAATTGGTCTCCAGCAGGTTCTAGCATCTCATTGTTTTCCTCTCCTCTTTTTCCTGCCCTCCTCTTCCTTTTCTTCCCTTTTCCTCTGTCCATGCGATTTTAATGTGCAGCCATCCAGAATTGAGAGCTATTGGCTTTCTGAGCAATTCTGTATTATCAGCATCAAAAAGTCAGATCATTTTCTTTTAAATTCTATTTTTTGATATCATATTTGTCAATTTGTGGGTTGCGGATGGAGAGAGAATATGAGGCAATAGGTGGGCATGTAATAGCAAGTATTATCTAAAAATTATTTCACAATTTAAATTTTGTCTGCTAATAATGATTTCTTAGAATTACTGGGCCATGGCTCATGCCCGTAATCCTAGCACTGTAGGAGTCTGAGGCGGGTGGATTGCTGGAGCTCAGGAGTTAGAGACTAGCCTGACCAAAAGCAAGACCCCTTCTCTACTAAAAATAGAAAAAGTAACTGGGCATTGTGGCAGGTTCCTGTAGTCCCAGCTATGGAGGAGGCTAAAGTGAGAAGACTCTTGAGCCCAAGAGTTTGAGGTTGCTATGAACTATGATGATGCCATGACACTCAACCCAGGGCAATGGAGTGAGATTTTGTCTCAGGGAAAAAAAAAAAAAAAGAAGAACTTATTTCTATAAAATATACATAAATTACTGGTTAAATAAGGGTCAGCTTTCAGCACTGTCTTAATTTGCCATAGTTTTATCAACTTTCATCAACTGTTTTTTAACTATCCTATCATTTTAATAGAACATAATGTTTCTTAATTATTTTTAGAAAATTAATTTACTAAATTTTTTTTTCTTTTTTATAGGTTATAGGTTTTGGCTCAGTTAAAATTGCAGCATTCATAGCTATGGTAGGAATTCTGTCTATTGTGGCTCAAGTGAGTATCATTTTACCCATACATTTACTTCTGTAAACATTTCTGTCTTGATAACCGTAGATTCATAGGAAGCTACATAAGAAAGTATAAGAGGTTATTCCCTGAACTACAACCTCACAGTTCCTTATCCCCTGCCATAGTAACAACTTATACAACTATGGTATAAAATTACATCCAGGAACGGGATGTGGATATGGTCCTCAGAACCATTTCTTTTTAAGTAAAATTTTAGTTGAGGTTATGATTTAGGAGGAATTTAATGTAATTTTCAGTACTTTTTAGGACATTTGTTGTAACCTCTGCTAGGTCAATTATTTCCTTTTGCAACAACCAAAATTATAAATAATTATAATCTGACTCTAAATATTACAAAATTAACTTAACCAGGATAATGTTTCAGTGTTATTTAAATGTTGAAAAGTAAGTATAGATGAAAACATTAAATGCCCCAAACCCTGCTATCCCCAGGACTCTAATGTGAACCAGTGCACTAGAATATATGCAACAAAAACAAGCATTTTCCCATATATTATGTTTTTCTTTCTTCCCCCCCCCTTTTTTTTCAAAAATTAAATTATCGCTGTGTATATTATTGTAGTCATTGGGTACAGTGTGCTGGTTTTATATACAATTCGAAATATTTTCATCAGACTGGTTTAACATAGCCTTCATAGCATTTTCTTAGTTATTGTGTTAAGACATTTATATTCTACATTTAGTAAGTTCACATGTACCCTTGTAAGATGCACCATAGGGGTGGCCCTTCAACCCCATTTTCCCATATATTATAAAGACAGCACCACAAAAGGTGAAGCATATGTCCTTCAGATTGATTCACTGTTGTGCTTAGGTAGATTCACTGCATCATATGGGACTGCCTCAGAGGCTGTTTACCTGAAGTGGCTGCCAGGCCAAATGGACCCCCCTTCTGTGATAATTTTCTTAAGGAGAAATAAGGCTTTGGAACTGCTTCATCCAAATAATAGGGAATGCATCAAGGCAAAAGCCTTTTGTTTTTTTGTTTTTGTTGAACTGTATTTAGCAAATGTAAATTATGTTAAACTTTCAAGTTCCTCATGAGATTGGTTTGTGTTTTACAAATCCTGGTCATTTAGCCCAGAGTCATCTTTAACTCTCTTTCATACTGTCCCAGCAGAGTATTTATTTGTTAAAAATCAAATTACATCAATTCCAACTTTGTGAAACTGTGAAACCTCTAGCAAATCCTATGTATTCTATTTACCAGGAGTTTGCAATTTACAGATAGGTAGTTGACATTTCTCCACAGAGACTGAGAAGTGTCCATTTCATTCGTGGTAACTAATGAATAGCTATGATAACCTTTTGTACATCCCATTAGAGCACCATGTGGTAAACAGGATTCTTGGTGAGAAAGCTGAAGACTCTAAGCCCAGTTCAGCTCCTGAAACTCCAATCCTATAGAGATACATCAGTAGTGGTCAGGTGGCGTTCCCTTAGAGGTCACAGTGGTAGGTCACTGGTCAGCAGTGAGTAGGCCTCACTTAAAGTGCTTGCATTCATATTCTTTGTGGTTTCTTAGGGTTGTCTTTTTTTACTTTGCAGACGGTCTTTCTTAGCATCTTGATGAGATCATTAGGTAATAAGAATACTGTCCTCCTTGGCTTGGGCTTTCAGATGCTCCAGTTAGCCTGGTACGGTTTTGGATCTCAGGCCTGGTAAGTGTCACCCTTAGATTCTCATGAACTGCCAGACAGGTTTATCTCAGAGGATCTTCAGCTAGTTTGGTTGGTTTGGTATACTTAACAGCAAAAACTCATAGGTTTTACTTTGGGGAAAGATGAAGTTAGGGGACTTAGGATTTTTTTTTTTTGGCCAGGGCTGGGTTTGAACCTGCCACCTCTGGCATATGGGGCCAGCGCCCTACTCCTTTGAACCACAGGCACCACCCAGTAACTTAGGAATTTTTATAAAGATTTTCTTCATGTCAGTGGGCTTTCACTGAATTATTGCTTAAATGAGTATGTGTGTGTTTTATTAGATCACGATTGTGTATATTACTGGATTTATGGGGGACAATGTGCTGATTTTATATACAATTTGGAATGCTTACATCAAACTGGTTACCATAGCCTTCACCTTACTTGTTATATTAAGACATTTATACTCTACTTTTGATATATTTGACATGTACCCTTGCAATATGCACAATAGGTGAAATCTCATGAATTACCCTCCCTCCACCCGACCACCCTTTTCCCTTCCCCTTGCCTTCTTCTTCTCTCCTTCTTTCTGGGCTATAATTGTGTTTTATCATTCATATGAAAGTGTGGATGATTATATATTGGTTTCATAATAGTCCTAAGTACATTGGATACTTTTTCTTCTATTTTTGAGATACTTTACTAGGAAGAATATGATCCAGCTCCATCCATGTAAACATGAAAGAGTGTGTATTACTCTTTCCCCAGGTCCCTAATAAATTTCTATGTCTACTTTTTTGTTGTTGTTGCAGTTTTTGGCTGGGGCTGGGTTTGTACCCGCCACCTCCGGTATATGGGGCTGGTCCCCATCTCTTTGAGCCACAGGCGCCGCCCATCTATGTCTACTTTTTAAAATACATTTGTTAGTTTTAAGGGACATCACATACAGTCATCAAAAAACAGGAAAAATGACTGGATATAGCAGGCCTCACTGCTATTGTTAATTGAGTGACCTTGACGTAATAACATAACCTTTATAAAACATAGGATTTAAGCTAGAAGAACATGAAAATCTCTTTCAAAACCATGGTTTACTGCTTGCATATTAGATTCTCACAAATAGGAAGGAAGGTCAAAATAAGTCCTGTGGAATAAGAAGAGAAGAAAGAATCCTAAATTCTGTTTTGTTATGTGGCAAGTTTCCCCAGGTGTCTGGTCACCAAATGTAGAGTGCCTTCTCCATTTTAGACTGGTCTTCACTTTGCACACATTAACAGATGACATAATTTAGAGAAAGCAGAAGAGCTTTAGTGGCCAGTATTTAATTTGGAGAGCAGATAGATATGAAGTTCCAAATTTTATTTGAACCAGTTGCTCTTTCTATGCAACTTTTTACCAGATTACTTTTATTGAATCTTGTTCTTTATTTTGGTCTTACGAACTTTGGTTCAGTAGCTGATTCAGTCAAACTTACATAGTGTTGAAAGACTTGTCATCATAAAGGCTTTTTCTTTTTAGAAACAAAAGAAATCCCTTTATGAACATCATTGAGCTTATGTGTAATGACGGTAATAGAGAAACCAGAGAGAAGAAAAGATTCTGAAAGACCATCTGTCTCCATCTCAGCCCATGAAGTGGTGATTGGTGTTAACAGTATGATGTGTAACCTTATAGGTTAAAAAAAAATCCATTTTTAAAGAGAGAAGAATAAATAAAACTTAGTAGGAGAAAACAGAATGCATTTGTACTTTTGCCACTGATTATATTCTGAATAGTAAGCTCCTTGGGGCTGGCCTGCTTCCTGATTGCAGCCTGTTCTGTCATTGTAGGATGATGTGGGCAGCGGGGACTGTGGCCGCCATGTCCAGTATCACATTTCCAGCAGTCAGTGCTCTTGTGTCTCGGAATGCAGAGTCAGATCAGCAAGGTAAAGTTGCTGCCCTCTGGTTTAGTCCTTTAGCTGAGACTCCTTTGCTAGAAGCATGAGAAGCTCTGAACTCTCTATGTCTAAAGCAGGAGTTGACAGTTTTATGGTCCCTTTTCAAGGATGTACCTAGCCAAATAGGAAGATCTATTTTCTTCCCTGCTTTTATCTAGTACTCATATTTTAAAAACCTGGACTTAGCAGTTTAGATTACTTGGAATTAGAAATAGAACTATCCATTTTCCCTTTTCAGTTTTTTTGTTTGTTTGTTTGTTTTTTTGAGACAAAGTCTCACCCTTGGTAGAGTGCCACGGCGTCACAGCTTACAGCAACCTCAAACTCTTGGGCTTAAGTGATTCTCTTGCCTCAGCTTCCCAAGTAGCTAGGACTACAGCCACAATGCCTGGCTATTTTTTTGTTGGGGTTGTCATTGTTGTTTAGCTGGCTAGGGCTGGGTTTGAACCTGCCAGCTTGGGTGTCTGTGGCTGGCGCCCTACCCACTGAGTTATGGGGAACGCCTCCCTTTTCAGATTTGATTCTTGTTTTGTTCATTACCATCAGAATTACAAGACATTAACATGTCTATTAAGCAGTGAAAGACCAGTTAGCCATGAGTTATTTATTTATTTAATCACTTTAATCACTCAAATACCTTTCATTTGGGGATAACTCAAAGTCCATGAGCTTAATTTAGAAAATGGTTCTTTGAGAGAATAAAGAAAACATAAATCTGTAGTTGTTGATACTTGGCTACAGAGTGGTAGGTACCGTGTTTCCCTGAAAATAAGACACTGTTTTACATTTATTTTTTCTCAAGAAGACACACTAGGGCTTATTTTCAGAGGATGTCTTCCTCTCCGTGCTGAAACGGATGGCCTGGCTGTGCAGATATGCTGCATAGCCACGCCCATCACTAGGTCTTATTATCGGGGTAGGACTTATTTTTAACAAATGCATAGAAATCCTGCTAGGGCTTATTTTTTGGGTAGGTCTTATTTTGAGGCAAAATGGTAGGAGATGGGAGGGAGGGTCTTACCTGGCTCAGGCTGGTCTCGAACCTCTGAGCTCAGGCAGTCCATTTGCCTCTGCCTCCCAAATGCTGGTATTCCTTTCTTCCCTTGAGACAGAGGAAGACTCTCACCTTGGGTAGAGTGCCATGGTGCCATCATAGCTTACAGCAACCTCAAATTCTTGGACTCAAGAGATCTTCTTGCCTCAGCTTCTTGAGTAGCTGGGACTACAGGCATGTGCCAGCAGGACCAGCTAGTTTTTCTGTTTTTAGTAGAGACTGGGTTTCTCTCTTCGTCAGGCTGATCTTAAACTCTTGTTTTCCATTCAAGTAGTTCACACTGCTAGATTTAATCGTTTCCCATTGCTTTCTAAGGTTTGCCTTACAGGAAGAAGGTAGAGAATTTTTAGAGGGAAAAAATTTTCGATGCCTGCGAGCCCTTTTAAAAGTTAATAAAAAACTAAATTAGAAAAAATGGTTTATGGCTCGGCGCCTATAGCTCAACCGGCTAAGGCGCGAGCCACGTACACCTAAGGTGGCGGGTTCGAATCCCCAGCCTGGACCCGCCAGACAACAATGATGGCTGCAACCAAAAAAAGTAGCCAGGCATTGTGGCGGGTGCCTGTGGTCCCAGCTACTTGGGAGGCGGAGGCAGGAGACTCGCTTGAGCCCAGGAGTTGGAGGTTGCTGTGAGCTGTAATGCCACGGCACTCTGCCCAGGGGGACAGCTTGAGGCTCTGTCTCAAAAAAAAAAAAAAAAAAGAAAGAAAGAAAAAATGGTTTATTCATTGCATCTATTTTTCCATGTCAGAAATTAGTCATCTTAGGCTGGGCACTGTGGATCAGGCTTAGAATCCCAGCATTTGGGAAGGCCAGTGCAAGAGACTTGCTTGAGGCCAGGAGTAAAGAGACCAGACTGGGCAACATAGTGAACCTCATTTCTCTAATAAAAAAAAAAAAGAGGAAATCCTACAGTTGGAAAGCCATCCTACTTGTACCCATTGTTAAATAGTATTACTTGAAGACCACAAATTCTGTATGTTACTACTGTCTTCAGTAACTCTGCTGGCTGTATCCTTGGGGTGGTAGGTTGTCTGAAGTGCAGATGATTGTGAGTCATCCATGGAGGACTAACTCTACCTTGGCATCTGACAGACAGTCCTGTCCTTTGGGGCACAAATTTTCTTTGACTGTTTTGTGCTAATATATATTAATACATAGGTTTCTAAATTTCAGCTTACAAAACTATTAGAACACATAATATTAGGCTGTATTATATTGCACCGTTTTTTACTTCCAAGCAACATTTATTTCAGGTGATTTTTGAACAAAGAGAAACCAAGAAATCAGCACTACTTGGATTTTTCAACACAGGTCTATAGGGAGATGGGCCCAGAATGCAACTGTGAGGATGGAATATGCCTGGGGAGATTGCTCTGTATTCATGTAGTCTGGGCTGCCTGAAGTGAAAAATATACTTTTATTGTAAAAGCACCATTAAATGAGCAAGGAAATCTCAACCTGGAAATTCCCTGAAATGGGAGAATATTACAGTTTTGCATTGTATTTCTCATTTATAGGGAGATCTAACTGATGTGAAGAATTTACCTAAACACAATTTAGAACATCATTGTCATTTCACCTCCTTATAGATCTTAGGACAGGAAGTGAGGACAGCATTAAGTGGGCATAGCAAGGAAATATTTAACAATGAAAGAATGATGGATGCAGTTTTCCTAAACTACTTTCCTCAGCATGTTTTCTGCTCAGTCTAGCTGAATCAGTGTGTCATGGTTGTAGGATGGTACCATCAGTTACAAATCTTGAGCTGCTTTTCTGAGGCTGGCTGACTTCTTTCTGTTCTGATTTAGGAGTTGCACAGGGGATCATAACTGGAATAAGAGGACTATGCAATGGCCTGGGGCCAGCACTTTATGGCTTCATATTCTACATGTTCCACGTGGAACTGACTGAATTGGGCCCAAAATTGAATGCTAACAATGCTCCCCTACAGGTAATTTGGTGATAAGTCTAATTTTGTAACAGTGGTTGTATCTGATTATGGCAAAATCTTGTGATCTTAAATTTGTAAAGCATTCTTCTGTGTATATTACTGTTGTATTTTACAGCAATGTTCATTGCTTCCTAAGATCAGGGAAGGGTTATTTTAGTGATTTACTATCTTTTTTTAGACAGAGTCTCACTCCGTCACCCTGGGTAGAGTGCCATGTAGTCATAGCTCACAGCAACCTCAAACTCCTGGGTTTGAGTGATCCTCTGGCCTCAGCCTCCTGAGTAGCTGGGACTACAGGTGTGCACCACAATGCCTGGCTATTTTATTTTTTCTATTTTAGTAGAGATGGGGTCTTGCTCTTGTTCTGAGTTGGTCTCCGAACTCCTGAGCTCAAGTGATCCACCTGCCTCAGCCTCTCGAAGTGCTAGGAATATAGGCATGAGCTACCACGCCTGGCCAGTGATTTACTATCTTATGTAAAAGATGTGTCAACTTTGTTCAGATTCTGTTTTTACCCACAGAATTACTTTTCTATTCTCTAGCTAAGCCCAGCCTAAATAAAGTATGAAATGACCTAGAAATCTAGTTTAAAATTAAGGAGAGGTTTTTTTTTTTACTATTTGAAACTTCTTCCTGTCTTCCTTCTAAATGGTATTTAGTATAGATTTTTGTACAAGCTGGAATTAATGTTCCTGTATAGAAGTACATGATTTGAGGTCACAAGATGATATATAGGTGAGCAACTATTACAGCCTTACAAGTTTGGTTAAGCAACTTAGAAGTGGTACAAAAAGCAATGATTAGTTGTCCTCTGTCATATTCCAAATACCAAACTCTGTTAGAGTTTGCCTTGACATTTCGTGAAGCATTTTTTTATGAGAAATGATTCACTTTTTGGTAGTATAGTTCATCCAGGACTGATTTTGAGTTAAAAATACTAACCAAATTCTTTGTTTCTACTTGTTTTCTGTATTCATCAGGGAGCTGTCATCCCAGGCCCACCATTTTTATTTGGAGCATGTATAGTTCTTATGTCTTTTCTGGTTGCCTTATTCATCCCTGAATACAGTAAAGCCAGTGGAGTTCAAAAACATAGCAACAGTGGCAGTGGCAGCCTGACCAACACCCCAGAACGGGGCAGTGATGAGGACATTGAGCCATTGCTTCAGGACAGCAGCATCTGGGAGCTCTCTTCCTTCGAGGAGCCTGGGAATCAGTGCACTGAGCTGTAAACTGAGCAGAAAGGGGGATTCTGCAGATGCCATCTCTGACAACCCTGGAGGGAGCCACACCACATGGAGACATCCTGGTGCTGGAGGGGAGAAGCTAGCAGCATCCTTCAGGGCCAAGTTTGATAAATGTTCCCCTCCATCCTTCCATCCTTGCTCTTCCTCCTCCATTTTGTTTTTGTTTTTGTTTGTTTGTTTTCTTCTATTCTTTTTCTTTGTGTGAACAGGTAAGATTTGAAATACTTCCTTGAAAATAATGTGAAACTTATGTAAAAACAATGGCTTTCCTGTAATAACTCCAGAGTGAGAGTGACAGCAGTCTTTCCATGCCCTTCTCAGCAGAAGGTGCAGGATTGTACTAGGACTGCTGTCTCTGGCAAGATTGCAGGTAAAGAATTCCTTATTTTTTTCCTTCCTGTTTCTCTGAATTTATTTTTTCTCAGCCCTTTGATGTTGATGAGTGGTCACTCTTGAGTCACTCAGTATCAGGGATCTATTTGTCTTTGTTCAAAGGTCAAATGAAAATCTAGTTTTACTCTCCTTTTCTCTACTTCTAATTCTTGGCTAAAATGAGATTCAACATACATACATCTTTCTGGACATTAATAATGCTGATCAGTGATCACCTTTATTACATAAAGGACATTTTTCTTATGAATTTAAATTGTATGGAAATCACACCTCAGATTCCTGGACCGAGTGTCCTCGTCAGATCCAAGATGATTTTATAGAAGAAGAAAACACATTAAGCATTCTGGTAGCAACATAGAAATTGGAGGGTATTTCTAAGAAAGTTTTTTAACAATTTAAAAATTCCCAAATAAGGGTGAGAGTTAGTACCTAAATACCAGTGGAGTTTATATCCAAGTTCTGCCTCATAATGCATTATTACTGTTTGCTCTTTCCCATGTCTCCTATGTCCTGCTTCTCATCCATCACACTCCTGCCTTAACTGCTCTGTAGTATGCATTTGTTTTTAATTTTTATTTCAGGCTGTTTATTTGACTTCTGAATCTCATGGAAATATGCACATGAAATTCCTTTCTAAAATATTATGGTTTAGTGAAGCTCGGTTTCACAAAAAGTGTCTTGCTAATTTTCTGAGGTGTTTTATGGACAAAGAAAACTTTACAGATTTATATGTATTTTGCTGCATCAGTAAATGGACCATTAACTAAGGCCTACCTTTAACAGAGCACTCCTTTGAAAGTTTTATAGGTATGACATATATGTAGATATTTGTAAGGGGTTTTAATTTTTTTTTGATGGGGTGCTGTGTAAATCTTGTATTTATAAATGTAATGAAGGTGTTGACAGAAAAAAATATATACAACTTTTATAAAGGATTGTGTACTGACTGAATACATTTAAAAGAAAATATATTTTGAAATCTGTTCTGCTATGAACAGAGATAACATATCTTTTTACTATGCTGTTGGTTTTTAGGTTAAGCTTCCTAATGCATAATAAATTTGCAATGGATACTTTTATGTCTTTTGTGTTTTTTTAAAGCAAATAGTATCATTGCTCTTTTGGATTCCCTTTTGGATAGCTTTCAACTTAACTAAATTATTAATCCTTCAGCTAGTGCAGAACAATTTGTGTGTTTTCCAATTATTTTTAATAAACTTTCTTCAAAATCTCCCTTCAAAAATAACTACCTATGCTGTTCAACTTACAATGGCGTTATGTCCTAATAAACTCATTATAAGTTGAAAATATTGAACTTGAAAATGTGTTTAATACACATTGAAAGCTTCAGCACCTTCAGTATTGGCACTGTAGATTGTTGGTTGTTCACACCCCGATTGCATGGCTGATTGGGTTCACCACTCCTGCCAGCATTGCAAGAGGGCATTATCGTATATCATAGTCCGGGAAAAGATCAAAATTCAAAATTTGAAATACAGTTCTACTGAGTGCTTATCACTTTTGCACCATCATAAAGTTGAAAAACTGTTAAGTTGAATCATCATAGTCAGAGACTTTTTATTTTTAAAAAGTAGGGACAAAACAGTTTGTATACCTATGTTCAATAGTAGCATTATTCATACTGCCAAAAGATGGAAAAACTCAAGCACCCATTGACTAATGAAGAATGAACAAGCAGAATATTTTAACATATACATGCAATGAAATACTCTGACACATGCTATAAAATGGATAATCATTGAAGACATTATGCTAAGTGAAATAAGACTGTCACAAAAAGACAAATACTATACAGTTCCACTAATATAGGTACCTAGAGTATAGTCTCATTCATAGAGACAGAAAGCAGAATGGTGGTCAGCAGGGGGTGGGGAACAGTGGGTAAAAAGTTTTACTTTGCAAGATGAGAAAAATTCTGGGATGGTGATGGTGGTTAGGTAGCATGATAATGTGAATATACATAATGCTACCAAATTATACCCTTTAAAAATGGTTAAATGGTAAGTTTACCACAGTTTTTTTTTCTTTTTTTAAACAGAGTCTCAAGCTTTTGCCAGGTAGAGTGCTGTGACGGCAAAGCTCACAGCAACTTCCAATTCTTGGGTTCAAGTGATCCTCTTGCCTCAGTTTTTCTATTTTTAGTAGAGACAGAGTCTCACTTTTGCTCAGGTTGGTCTTAAACTTGTGAGCTGAAACAATCCACCCATCTCAGCTTCCCAGAGTGCTAGGATTATAGGTGTGAGCCAACGTGCCTGGCTTGGTTTACCACAGTTTTTATTTATTTTTTCTAGAAAATAAAATTATATTAATTTTACAAATCACTTAATGATGATTTGTGACTAAAGATAACCTAGAATCACAACCATTGTACAATCACACAAATTGATCGTGTAATAAATCAGACCTCGTTTATCACCAGCATTTATAAACGTAGGAAAAGAACTAGGTCTGGGGGACACATGCATGGTCTTTATATAGTGAATGTTTAGTCTGTACTGATTATTATAAAATCAGAACAGCAAGAATATTTGCAGTACCATAGTTTTAAAAAGTGCTGTCATGACATCTTTTTTACCACTGTTTACTACAATTGCAGTTACTTTACCCATTTTAACAAATATCTCAGTATAACAAATGTAATTTAATTTTCATTAGATTTTTCGAAATTGCAGTAACAGTCACCCTTTTAACCATTCTGAAGTGTAAAATTCAGTAGGTTGTAATATATTCATAAGGTTGGCTGGGTGTGGTGGATCACTCTGTAATCCTAACACTCTGAGAGGCTGAGGTGGGTGGATCTCTGTCTCTACTGAAAATAGAAAAAAGCCAGCCTTTGTGGTGGCTGCCTGGAGTCCCAGCTACTCAGGAAGCTGAGGCATGAGGATTGAGGTTGCTATGAGGTATCATGATGCCCTGGCATTTAACCCAGAGTGGCACGATGAGAGTGTCTAAATATATATATGTATATATGTATATATATATATATATGGTGTAGCACTGATAAGTTCTCATAATTTGGTGGGTAAAAGTGAATCCAACAATAGCCATTCAAAGAAAAACTAGATACATTATTGCCAGTGCATAGAAATACAGGTGATTTTTGTTTGATGATATTATTATATCCTACAACTATAGACTTTATTAGTTCCAATAGTGTGTGTTTGTATTTGTCAGTACTTTCTATTTATTAGACCATGTCATTTGCAAATAGAGATAGTTTTACTTCTTCCATTTCAGCTTGGATGCTTTTAATTTAATTTTCTTGCCTAATTTTCTGGCTAGAACTTCCAGTACATTGTTGAGAGGCAGTGGCACAAGCAGGCATCCTTGTCTTGTTCCTTATCTTAGGGGGAAAGCTTTCGGTTTTTCACCAATGACTATATTAGTTGCAGGTTTTTCATAGGTGACCTTTATCACGTTATGGGAAGTTCTTCTATATTCCTGATTAGTTGAATGTTTTTATCATGAAAGAATGTTGGATTTTGTCAAGTGTTTTTTTTTTTTTTTTTGAGATTTCCAACTGACCTGACTAATATTCAGTTTATTATAATCTTTAAAAAAATTTTCAATTAGGTTCTGAGATTCTGCTCCCTTAAGTATGAGTGAATAAATATACTTCATCTTCTAATTGGATATGGGTCTGGGTCAGCCCCATGAACACTATTGTGATTCTTATTTTTGGTGAAGCACTGATAAGCTCTCATAATTTGGTGGGTAAAAATGAATCTAACAACAGCCATTCAAAGAAAAACTAGGATATTCCCATACTGAGGAAGGATGAATGGACAGAGACTAAGGTTCCTAATCAACCATTGCATTGTCACAGGAAATAAAGGGTTCTCAAAGTAATCCCTGCACACCATACCAGTTGCCTAAAGATTCAGAACATAGGCTAGGGTTGTCCTTATGATGGCTCACCTTGGTGTAGGGGGAACCTCCAAGTTAGTCTTTATTTCTCTCAACCCCTGAAAGACTACCATTACCATACTCCATGGAGGCTAACAAGTTCTAAGACTGCTTCAGTAATCTTGCAAACATAAATTTCCACTAGATTCTTCAGCTTTTATCAGGATAGGCTCCCAAGAAATTACCTAGAATGCTAGATGACTGAATCCAGCCCACAGAACTTATTCAGTCAGTTACTTGATTAATTCAGTATTTCAGTTGTTGTGGGTTTTGTATGTATTAGGCATTATTCTAGAAAACAGGGACACAGAATAACACGTGGTCCTTACCTTAAAAGAGCTCTATCTTGGTGTCTTGCTCCTGACCTTTCCCTAGCATCGTCTTCTAAAATGGTTGTCATTAAGCTGACCCAAGCTTGCTTAAATTTGATGGATATAATGAGCTGGTGATGATTACAAAAGCAGCTTCCATTTGGTATTTTATGTTTATTCATTATTTCACTTATCTCCACAAAAGCCTAATGAAGTGTTATATTAGAGTAAATAAAGCTGTAAGATACTTGGTCAGTAGAGCAAGGGTGAGACATTCAAACCCAGTAGCTGATGTCTTCAGAGGCCTCAAGACAAGACATTTAACTTGATTTTCCCTAAGAGATGGTGGTCTCTTACAGGAAGAACTATCTTAATGTTTTGGTAGGTGGACTCATCTTTCTGATTTAAACTGTTAGTTTCCCTTATACATTGGCGAATGTTTCCAGCATTCTGCTTCACATACAGTAGAACCTATATAAGTTGACCACCTAAGAGACTGTAACAAACTGGTCAACATACAGAGTTGGTCAATATGAGAAATTAGACCTACTGTACACTGAGTCCTACATGTGATGCATGTCAACTTTATGAAAATTAGGTCAACTTCAGTAAGTGGTAAATGCAAAGAAATGGTCAACTGTGGAGGTTCTGTGTATGGAAACTAATGTCATCTGAGACTGTCAACTAGGGTGACTAAATATGGCTTTTCCAGAGTCAGTATTGTTAGATAGTAGCCCTAGCTTAAGCAAGATTGTTCCCAGGAACAGGTCAATGGCCTTTTATGACCCACCCATCAAAGTCACATAACATCATTTCTGCCACACTTTATTGTTTGACACAGTTACAAGCCCAGTTTGATTCAAAGGGATCATACAGGCCCATCTTGATGGAAGCTATGTTAAAGAGCTAGGTTTGGAAACCACCATAGGCTGTTAATGAGAATAACATCATCAAATTTACATTTTAATTATAAAGCAATAAAGTTTGGCTTATAAGAATATATATTGTAATAGCAAACAGGAAGAGGAAATAGAACTATATTGGTGTAAAGTTTTTATATTATACCAAAATTAAGTGTTAACACGAAGTAGATTGTGATAAGATACATGCTCTAATCTCTACAACAGCCATTCACAAAATAACTCACAAAAAAAGTTCAGAAGTCATCAAAGGAATTACAATGATACACTGTATCTAATAAAAGAGAAGATAGTAAGGGAACAGAGGAACACAAAAGACAGGCATATAGAAAATCACAAAATGGCAAATATTGATATAGTATCAATAATTATGTGAAATGAGTTGAATGAATATGCTATTCAAAAAGCAGAGATTGGGCAGCGCCTGTGGCTTAAAGGAGTAGGGTGCTGGCCCCATATGCCGGAGGTGGCAGGTTCAAACCCAGCCCCGGCCAAAAAACAAAAAACAAAACTGCAAAAAGCAGAGATTACAGCTACTCCGGCACTTTCTTATAAAACTAACCTGCAACTGCCATATGACCCAGCAATTGCACTTAGGTCATTTATCCCAGAGACATGAAAATGTATGTTTGCAAAAAACCTCATACACAATATTCACCCTAGTTTTATTTGTAACAGCATGTTAGTCTTTCTCTACCTCCAGGAAGTCTAAACATTCATTAAGTATCTACCTTTTCAAAGTTTAAGCACTCCTTAAGTAAAGAATAAGACTTGTTAGTCTTTCTTTACCTTGATAGGTATAGATAAGCAAAAAATTTATAATTTATATTTATATATTTAAAAATATATTTAAGCAAAAAATAGGACTTGCTGTGTTTCCTGGGTTCTGTTAAACATTCCTTTTAGGTTGTAAAAGATTTA